TGTTCTTTAGACCATAATTTCTACTTCCATTTATAGACTCATTAGTTCTTGAAATTGCATGTTTGGTAAAGAGATGCATCCACCTTGTACAAGTTTCTTCTTTGCAAATAAAGCTAATGGACTTTGTTTTCACTTTGATCCATGTGATTAGTTGTATTTTAACAAGTTGATGTTGATGAGTCTCGTGGTTCAAATCACATTTAATGCGGCTATCCAACCCTCACTTTGCTGCTTGACTCTTCCTCAGTAGTCGAAATCCACTTTGAGTTCAAATCTAGGTGTTCGCACTATTAACCGAGTAAAAGTTGCTTCGCAACGGTTTTTTGGGAAAGTCAAAGCTTTTGGAGAAAGCCGTGCTTGGGCTTTGATCTTTGGAGACTTACTTTTCTAATTATGAACAACCCGAAGCCCATTTGGCTCGAAAAGTCCTTTTATTGGGCCTCTTTTGTTATTACAAACATTGTATTTCTTGGAACAAATCAAAGTTTTGGCCTTTTCTACAGTGGTTCAATTTGGTTAATGCCAATATTCTCCAAATAAACTCTATAATCTGCCACAATATTGCTGATGCAAATTTTAACAAGCGCCTCCTCATCTTTCTCATCGTAGCAATCCAATGCGATGTCCCGGAACCTACGCACAAAGTCCACGGGATTCTAGCCATGTTTTTTATGAGTGTTGTTAAGTTGAGTGGTGGTGACTCGTTCTTCATGCTGGAAATACTTCTTACAAAACCTGCTTGCCAAGCTTTCCTAGGAGTGAATAGAGCCTGGTGCCAACGTCGTATACCATGTGTAAGCACGATCGGTGAGACTCTTTGAAAATTCTCTGAGTTATAGATTATGATCACCAACATGTGGTCCTAAGGCATCAATGAAGCGATTGACGTGCTCCTTCGGGCTCCCCTTCCTTCCGTCGAAGAGGACAAAGGTTGGTGCTTCATAGCCTTTAGGATATGGTTGCTGGAGCAAGCTTGATGGGTACGGTGGCTGAGGAAGATACTTCAAATCCTCCTGACTTCGACTCAGCTCCTTTTCCAGCATGGCAACAACATCCTCTTGGGTAACAGAAGATGGTCCCTTTTGTTCGGACTCCTTTCCAGCAGCAGCAGATTCCTCTTGTGGGTGTCTCTCATTTTCTTCGCTTGGCTTTGGAGTCGAATTTTTGAGTTCTTTTATCATCTCTGCCATCACTCTGTGGGTCTCACCCATAGCATGGATGGCTGCAACAAGGCCTGTGAGGGTAAAAGTTCCCTCACTTGCACGTTCTTCTTCTCTAGAAGAGGCATGTTGCCTTGATTCTGAGTCAGCATGTCTTGGCCCGTCCTGGGAAGTCATGTTGTTGCTTATGGTCTTCTTTCTTGGAGGCATTGATGAAGATAATGGCTTAATCCCCAGCAGAGTCGCCAATTTATGTAGGGGAATTTTTCTTCCTGCAGCTATAATGGGCTGGGCTACTGCAAAGGGCAGACTGAGGAGACTGTCCCTTTTTCTTGGGTTCGAAAATTAAGCCCCAAAAATACTTCGAAAGGGCAGCAAAGCCTTAGGAAATATTTTGGCTACCTTCACCAACCAAAATAATGGTAGCTTACAGGTGGTTTTGGCATGCTTACAAATAATCTTTTTAGCTCAGCGTGAGTGGCATGTGGCATGGGAGCAAAATCAACATGAGTTTAGCACCAAGGGAAAATCTAGGCTTGCTTTATGAGAAAAGAAAGTGTTAAGGTAAGGAAGGAGATGTTTTGTGAGAGATTTGGCTAGGAAAGGGAAAATGGATAGCAGAGTTCTTCTGGCAACTGCCAGAAGAACAAAATGGAGAAGAAGATGAACAATGCACGAGGTTGCTGGGTTTTTTTGTAAGTTAGAGAGAAGGCTTGCTCTCCGAATCTGAGTTGTCTCTGTTAGGTAGGGGAAGTCTCAATTTATAGCCGCTGGAAACCACCATTTTTCAAGAAACCCTAATGGCTTCTATCCATTTTGGCTAAGCTTTGTCCTCTTTTCTCCTCCTCTTCTTTGACTTCCCTATCTTGGCAAAAATTGCCTCTATCTATTTGCACGAATTCAGGAAATTTGGGAGCTCAATGCCCCCTTTCCCGCAGCTGTTCAGTGGGAAGTTCCATTCTTGGCTACTGGTTTTTCTTTTTTCCTTCCCCCTTTTTTGGCCAAATCTAATGAAGGAAAGGAAGTGAAAATACATGCTGGTCCAAAGGGTGCTTCTGACAGCCCGCATGCTTGTATTCCTTGGTTTCTTGAACGTCTCTAGCTTGGAACTTGCTCCCCCATGTGCTGCAACCTCCAGCAATCCCTGTTCAATGATTCTATAAACCGTGACTTCTATTTTTTTTAGCAAGGGGCTATGGCTTTGTGGCTTATTTTGGAGTTTTATATGGGCCAAGGTGGTTCCCTAATCAAATGGGCCTTTTTTGTTAAACATTGGGCTTTTTTTATTGTATTAATAGGCTACTTTGCTTGGGCTATTTGGCTATTTTTCTCTCCTATGCTTATCCACATGTTTGGGCCTAAGAAATGGGCTTGAGTCTCGAGGCTCCCAACCAACCCAAGACTTTCCATTTCTCGGCCCATCAATGGGTCTCATGTTGATTTATTACCGTCCATACCACAACCCACTCAAGCAAGCCCCGAGTTTTTGAATGGCTTGGGCCCACTTAGGCTTGTAGCGTAGTTGGGTGTGAGATAAAGATTTCGTGCTTGGCATGGCATACCGCTTGGCATGTTTTAATTTATCGTCCTGCGATGTTTAATTTTGGCATGGGCTTGTAGACCCGGTATATTTTATCTCAACCCCTAGCGAATTTATTTATTTAGCGTGGCACGTGAACTGTAATTCGCCTGTGGTGGGTTTTTGTGTACTCTGCTTTACGCTTTTTCTTAATTGACCGTCGTTTTGGGCTGACAATTTATTCGGGCCCAATCATGGATTTTTTGGGTCTCAACAACTATATTTGTTACAATCATGAATACATAAGTGGTGGGTCTTTCACCTCTTTCTAGTGACTTGGGAAGCTAATTGATAAAACTAAAGTTGTCCGATTTATTATGAATTTGTGTTTGTTTAGTACAATAATATATAATTATAATTCGAATTTCTGTTTGCATGGGTGAAAGTGGAAGAGCTCAACCAACTGAGTTACACTCAATTGGCTAAATTTAAAGCTTTCAACACATATAAAATGTACACGAACTAGTTTTTATTACTTCCGTATAAAAAAACTAGTTTTTATTTTAATGTTATTTTTTGTTGAATATTTGCAGAAGGAAGGAAAGTGGAGGAATTGAGAGAATTAGGGCTCGTTTGGGAGTGCTTTTGGAGCAGCAAAAAGTGGGTGAAAGCGCTTTTGTCTTTTAAAATTGGTGTTTAGCAAAAATTGCAAAAGCGCTTTGAGATTTGGATGAAGTTCTTGGTACTTTGATGCCTCATTATCTAATCAATTTGAGTTCTTTATTGGTTATTATACTGTGTTAGCATGTAATCATAGTTCTTTCAACCTCAATTTTGATGTGTTTATCAATGTTTTGAAAGGCGAGGCGATGATGAGAGGTGTTTTAGTGGCGCTACGCGAAGCGTAAGCCTTTTGAACATTAATTTATTTTAATAAGAAAAATTTATGAATAATACAATACAATTAAATTGTACAACTAAATTATACAGAACTTCAAATTACAGTTGCAAAGCATTAGAGAGAAAAATAGAATGGCTCACTTGCAGTCTAAAGATGAAGAGATTTCTTGAAATTGATAGAGATTATCTGATAAGGGTAGAAATTAGGGTTATACTATACAATATATATATATATATATATATAAATCCATGTGTTAATATATTAATTTAGAAAAAAAGGCTACAGTCGCTAGGAGTTAGAAAAGGGCAAGAATCTTTGGTCTTTATTTATGAAAGTTCCTTGAAGGCTCCTTACCCACTTTCACTTTTGTATTGGAAGAAAGCGCGTCAGTGAAAATAGAAATTTCAGCGTTTGATGACTTTTGTGGCTGCCAATTTAGGCCCACATAGAAGTTGGTAGGAAACTGCTTCGTCAAGCCCTCATAAATCTGTCTAGAGAGCCACTGCAAAATAAGTTATGATGAAAGAATCTTCACGAAAGAATCTTGAACCATATTACTCAGAATAAGTTATGATGCATTGACATATGGCCTATGAAGTATTATGAGAAGTTATGATGCGATTGTGGCTGCCATCTCTTTTCTTTTATTTTCCTGCAAAAAGGAGTTTAATACCCAAAAGAATCATCACATGTTCCCTCTACTACTAGCTCAACCACACGAGAAGTTGCCCTGAAGGTTCCTTACACTTCACTTCAACACGTTGTAGGTACCGTCGCATTGCAAAGAAACTGCTTCGGCTGACTAGTCTACAAGTACTTGCACTGAAAGACCATCATTTCAAAGAAAGAACGTGGTGACAAAAGAAATATCATTGTTTGACCACTTTGTAGTTGCACTTGCACAGAAAGTTCTTCGTACAATGAAATGAAACATTGTTACTAAAATATCCCTATAATCATTTGAGCAAAAGTGAAAAAAACAGAAGAACTTTCGGTGTTTGTTTTTTCAATTTTTCCATAAACTTTATCTAAGAAAGCGGTTTTAAGACAACGAGATCTAGTTCAGTGAAAAAAAGTCTTGACCTATAGATTAGAGGTCTCTAGTTCAAATTCATAAAATTCGAACCATAAAATTCGTTTCCGTAATCTTTCAATTTTTTAATTTCAGACCAAAAAATCTTTGGATAGAAAGGCCATCATTTCAAAGAAAGCGTGTCAGTGAAAAAAGAAATATCACAGTTTTACCACTTTTGTAGCCGCCAATGAAAAGGTCAAGGTAGTGCCCCTCACCTTCAGTAAGTTGCAACTACATATGCTTCAGTAATTAAAGACCGCGTCAGTAAGAAAAGAAAATTCAGCGTTGATGACTTGATTGAAACGAAATCTCCTCCACATGGAAGGTGGTAGGAAACTACTTCGTCAAGCCCGCATAAATCTAACCGGAGCGCCACTGCCATACCCAATTCTTTGAGCTTCTCCATACTTCTAATTATCTCCCTCCTATCTATGACAACTCAACCAGTCTCTTCTTCTTCTTCTTCTTCTTCTTCATATGATGTGTTTTTGAGTTTTAGAGGTGATACACGCTTCAATTTTACAGATCATTTGTACAAGGCGTTGCGTGATAAGGGCATCTACACCTTCATTGATGGAGAGCTTGTAAGAGGAGAAGAAATATCGCCAGCCCTTGTCAAAGCAATTGAAGAATCAAGAATTTCTCTCATTGTATTCTCTGAAAACTATGCATCTTCGAGGTGGTGTTTGGATGAACTTGTCAAGATCCTTCAATGTAAACAATCAAAGCAACAAATAGTTTTGCCCATTTTTTACAAGGTGGATCCGTCGGATGTGCGAAAACAAACAAGTAAATTTGGTGACGCATTTGAAGGCCTTATTAAAAGGAAATTCAAGAATGACAAGGAGAAAGTGCTCATATGGAGGGAAGCTCTTACAAAAGTAGCAAATTTGTCCGGACATACTTTCAAGGATGGAGAGTACGTATATTTCTATCTTTATCATTTTCATGTTTAATTTTTTCTCTCTTCTTTCTCATTACTATTTGTTACACATTTAATTGCTACTTATTATTAAATTGTAGGGAGAAGATCTTTATTTTATTTTATTTTATATAAATATTTTCGATGTCATATTTTGAGGCCAAATTTATAATTTTAAAAAAATTAGCATATAAAATACGCTAATAATATATAATTTAAAAAAAAATTAGAAAAAGTAAAAAAGACATCAAGTCTTGTGTGCTGCCACACGTGGGTGGGTACAGGATTGCCACAGCAACTGCAGAATATTGGAAATAGAGAGCAGCGGCGGATCCAGAAATTTTTCAGCGGAGGTGCAATTTTAAAAAATTAAGAGCTCAAAATAAAAATAAAAAGACAACTAAACATCCTTATAATCTAAACAATACTAATGTTATTCATAATTAATTAAAAAAGACAACTAAGCCTCTTCCTCCTTGAGTTTGCTATTGATCTTACTAATATAGAGAGAGCTAAATAGGAAAAAAAAAATTATTCAAAAAACAAAAAAAGAATAAACAAAATTGGCGTTTGCTCAAGAATAAAATAAATATGCATTCGACTTACTTTGGATTGGCGTACTCAAGAAGAAAAAAAAAATGCAGGATTCTTGTGATGCACACACACTTTGATGAAATTGGGTAATGTTAAATTGGTCTTTTATGAAGAGAATTCCTAATCCCACTTAAATAAGGAATTCCCAAAACCCAATTGAATAAAGGGAACTCCCAATTAAAACCCAATTAAGTAAGGAATTATACAAGCCCTTTGAAAAGCCCACGAAATGGCCAGCAGTTTCCCTTTCTTTTCTTTTTTTTCTTTTTTTTTCTAAAACCCTGGTCCAAAACGACGTCGTTTTGGCCAGGCTTCGTTTAAAAAAAAACAAACGCGCAAGCTTTGCATCGTTCCTGCTTGAAGGAAAGTGCCGCACTATTTTTAGCCACTCAGAGATAGCCTTTTTGATCTTATTGGCTTAAGCAGACCATTCATGAGCAGATAAGATCAAAGAAAGCAACCTACAGTCCCATCCATGCATACTAACTATAAACAACCGATTTGCTTATTCAACAACTCTCTAATTAGTTTAGGCTAGTGGTTTGGGCATTTCGTCAAACAGGTTGTGTGCGTCCAGCAGAGGTGCAACTCCAGTAGCTGTAATGGAGTTTTCCGGCCACCGGAGGTGCAGGTGCACCTCCTTGCGCCTGCACAGATCCGCCACTGATAGAGAGTATTGTATGAGTAACCACATGATTAGCTATAGTAACATTTCCAGAAATATTACTTAAATTTATCTATAAAAAAATGTTTTGATGAAGATGCCCTCCACCTTTCTCAATAGAGTAATGTAATTATGTAACTCATAATATTGGAAATTGAATAAATATAAAATTACGAGTACTTTTGCATTGGAATTTCCTTTCAATTTTTCCAGCTAAAATTATAGACACAATTGCAATTGATCATTGGAACTTGATCTAGTGAGGATATGTTTGTACTGTGTTATACGATTTTGTTAATCCAACTCTTATGCCAATGATGACGAAAATCTACCAAATTCGTTTGGGAGTTATTCTGTCACTTATTGGGTACACCTTCTACGTGCTTCTTCATATAATCATTTTTAAAAATTTTAAGTGATTATGGAAAGAAACACTTCCCATGTACTTCTCCATAAAAGTGATTATTAACCTATCCAGAATCACTCCCAAACGAGTCATCATAAAACTTCATCGTAGAATAAGGTAAGCCAAAGTCAACTTAGCTAGCTAACAAATAATTTCTCTATAAGAAATCATTTGCATATCGACTTTGAAAACCGATGATATATCTACTTTGTAGGATCTTGTGTTGCTTGCTAAGTATTATATGATAATTTCGTCTTGACAAAAAAACGTGAAACCGAATAGCAGGAAGTTGAGCTATATTTTTTTAAATTATATATTATTAGTGTATTTGTATGCTAATTAAAATATATTGTCAACGTCTTGATTCCATATTTCAGGGTTATCTATCTTTTTCAAGTTAACTTAATTTCCCTTTTTTTTCATAAAAAATTTTATTTAAATTTTTTTACTTAGGTTTTATTAAAGAAAAGTATTCTTTTATAAAAATATACAACTGTACATGTAGTGAGAAGATTTATTTTCTTGGGTACTTTTGTATTTTCGATAGCTGTAAGGAGAAAGTTCAAAAGGCATACAAGTATAAATGATACATAACATAGATTTGTGGTTAAACAACTATTACATCTTTTTTCTTTTTTGGTCAGAACATTAATTACGTACTTGAGTATGTTGTGTTCTTTTGCATGGTTGGATTTGTTTAAATCTGATTCATTGAATGTGTCTAATTTGGTTAAACTGGCAGGTATGAAACTACATTTATCAACAACATCGTTGATGGAATCTTAAGCCAAGTACTGAGCTGCACATATTGGAATGTGGCCAAGTACCCAGTTGGAATTCAATCTCGTGTACAAGATGTGGAAAGGCATTTAGATGTTGGTGGGAAAGATCGTCGCATGGTTGGGATATGGGGGACATCTGGAATAGGCAAGACAACAATTGCAAAAGCTATATGGAATGCAATTGCACATAAATTTGAAGGAAGTTGTTTCTTGTCAAATGTTAGAGAAAATTCAATGTCAGATGGGGACTTAATCAAGCTACAGGAGGCTCTTCTTCATAAAATTCTTGGCGGGGAATGGAAAATTCATAGTGTTGATGAAGGAATTGGTGTCATAAAAGAACGGTTGAGCCATAAAAAAATTCTCTTAATTCTTGATGATGTGAATCAATTGAAGCAATTAGACAATTTGGCTGGTGTTGGTTGGTTTGGTGAGGGAAGTAGAGTCATTACAACTACACAAGATCGCGGATTGCTAAAATGTCATGGAATTGATTTGATATACGAGGTGCAAAAGTTATATGGCAACCAAGCTCTTGAGCTTTTTAGTTTCTGTGCCTTCGGAACCAACAAACCTCCAAAGGATTATTTGGAACTCGCACAACGTGCACTAGAGTATGCTCAAGGCGTTCCACTAGCTCTAACAATTTTAGGTTCTCATCTTCATAATAAAGACAAAGATCGTTGGCAAGATATATTAGATAGTTATGAAGGAGAACCATATACAGGTATTCAAAAAATACTTCAAAAAAGTTATGATGCCTTGGAAAATTTCATGCAACAATTTTTTCTAGACATCGCATGTTTCTTCAAGGGTAAAAAGAAGGACTATGTTCTACAAATAGTAAGCAATTCTAAGAACAAGGTCTCCCGAGATTGTATTGAAGTACTCATTGAGAAGGCAATGATAACTATTGACTGTGGTACGATTCAGATGCATGACTTACTAGAAAAACTGGGCAAGGATATAGTTCACAAAGAATCCCCCAATGATCCCGGCAAGCGTAGTAGATTGTGGTTTTACGAGGATGTTGAACAAGTTCTAACGGAAAATACAGTAAGTATCACATATGTTATTATATTCAAATTGACAAGAAAGAATACCTTATGTAGCCTATATAATTTTCTTAACAAAATGTGCTTGCATTTTGGTTTGTAAAATGAATCCATTTTTTGATCTTAATGCTTTTCTATCTTAGGGAACAAGAAATATTAAAGGCATCATTGTGAAGCTTCCAGAACCAGCAGAGATAACCTTGAATCCAGAATGCTTCTGTAATATGGTAAATCTTGAAATTTTCATAAACCGTAATGCATCTCTATGTGGGCACATTAACTATCTGCCCAACGCGTTAAGATTGATTGATTGGGATAGATGTCAGTTACAATCTTTGCCACCCAATTTTCAAGGAAATCGTCTTGTTGAGTTCAATATGCCACGCAGTCGTATCAGACAATTGGACAGATTTAACTTTAAGGTATGCATTCGAAATTATTTTCATCCATTATATATAATTTCAAGTACAGTTGTTAATTTTAGAACGAAAAAAATGAAAATTTGTTTTCTAAGCTTTTGTCTTTTGAAGCGTGTGATTAATTATTTCCTATTTTTGTGTTCTTGTCTTGCAGCATTTGTCAAAGTTGACATCTATGAATTTGAGGGGTTGTCAATTCTTAGAAAAAATCCCTGACTTATCCGGAATACCAAATATAAAGTACTTGAATCTACGCGAGTGCACACTTTTGTTTGAGGTCGATGGTTCTATTGGATTCCTTGATAAACTTGTTGAATTGGATCTTGGTGGATGTTTCAATCTTACAAGGTTTGGAACAAGACTTAGATTGAAATCTCTTAAAAAACTTTATCTTAATATCTTAGAAAAAATCGTTGACTTATCTGGAATCCCAAATTTGAAGTACTTGAATCTAAGTGAGTGTAAACGTTTGGTTGAGGTCGATAGTTCTGTTGGATTCCTTGATAAACTTGTTGAATTGGATCTCAGAGAATGCTTTCAGCTTACAAGGTTTGGAACAAGACTTAGATTGAAATCCTTAGAAAGACTTTATCTGTGTGATTGTAAAAGGCTTGAGAGTTTCCCAGAAATAGAAGTCGAGATGGAATCACTAAGGATTTTGTACATATCAGGAAGTGGCATAAGAGAATTGCCTTCATCAATTGCATATCTTACTGGGCTTTCTCACTTGTTCGCTGCATATTGTGAGAACCTTGCAATTACGTTCAACTCTCAAGTTTCATCCAGCAACTCCGAATTACAGCTGCTTCCCAACCTATTTCAATTTAATCTCACAGGATGCAATCTATCAAAACTTGATTTACTCCTGCACCTTGATTGCTGGTCCACATTAACAGAACTTGATCTATCGGGAAACAATTTTGTCAATCTTCCGAGATGCTTTAGCGAATTTGTCAACTTGCGGAATCTTGACTTGAGTTATTGCCAAAGTCTTCTGGAAATTCCAGAACAAGTGCTTCCACCAGGAGTAGAATCCGTATCGCTGTATAACTGCACATCATTAGAAAAAATTCCAAAACTGGCTTGGGTATTGCTAGATAACTGCACATCATTGGAGAAAATTCCAGAACTCCCACGGAAGGATGACAATATGTATCTGAGTTTGATCAACTGCGTTAGACTACACGGCTACGACATCACAGAAAATATTTTTCTGAATCAGGTTTCGGTTTCTTCTTCGCATTCTCATTTCGACATTCGTCTTCCAGGCGATGAAGTTCCAAAGTGGTTCAGCTGTCGTAAAGATGCAACAATAGTTAGACCTTATTTGGTTACAAGTCCTGGAACAAAGAAATACAATGCTGGATGTGAAGTTAGTTTTGAAATTCCCCCAAATTTGAAATGGGAGACGTTAAGATTGGTTCTATGTGTTGTTACTCAAGCTGATGCCAAGATTCTTCTCAATGGAAAACTCGTCAATGAGAGACATATTGCATCATGGGAAAGTCATGTGCAACTCACGTCTATTCCATTATTGGATAGGCACGCGTACGAGTTTGAAGAACCACTGACGAAGCAGGGTAATACGTGTCAAGTTATATTTGACTTGTTTGTCAAAGTGCCCACACCTGTTAAAATTCCCTGCGGGGTCCACCTACTAGGCCACCAGGTTGCTGATGTCAGTGAGACTGATGTTGTTGATCATGGGCCAACGCAGTTGTTGTTACCTGATGCGATGGCAGTGGACGATGATACTTTATGATGATCAACACCATGACTGCGAATTCCTTTCCTTGTCTTTAGCGTCAAAGACTAGTCTTGGCAAGAGGCCTCGCCAATCAAATTACATGGCACTTCACGATGATCATCATGCTAACGTCGTCGAGATTGGTGATCATGAAGCTCAATGGCTTACCTTGTTTACGGGACCAGCGGATCACCAAAAGAGGAGGCACATTGATCCTAATAAGGAGGCAAAGTATGTAAATCCATTAAATTTTGAATGATATCTTTGCATTTTCTGGTCATAATCTGCTTTTTGTGTTCAATTCAAGTTTAGCAATATTTTGCTGTGCATATCTAGGTATATGTTGTAGTTTTCAGGGTGTGAGTTTTTTCTTCTTTTGGTTTTAGGTTAAATCCTTTTTCTTAGCGCTATATATTCGATATTAAATTTTCAGGCAATAATGAAGTTCCAAAGTGGTTTATGCGAGCCCCATGTTTAGCTAACGAACCCAATTTCCAATCAAATAATATGGGTAGAATATTTCAGATATATTTCATTCTCCAAAAGGAGGTATTGATAATACAAGGTTACAAACCCTAGTAGGGTTATATTAGGAAATAAGAAAAGTCCTAATTACATAATATCTATACAAAAAGGAAACAAATAAAATCCTAATAGAAGAAAAAAGAAATATCCTAATAGGACCAGGATATCTCGCTAACACTCCCTCTCAAGTTGGAGCAAAGACGTCACACATGCCCAACTTGTCAAGCGAGTTGTGGAAGATACTAGTAGAAACAGCCTTCGTAAGAACATCTGCTAATTGATATTCAGAACTAATGAATGGGAAGGAAACAATCTCCGCATCCAACTTTTCTTTAATGAAATTTCGATCAACCTCCACATGCTTTGTACGATCATGTTGTACAGGGTTATGAGCAATTGCAATCGCAGCCTTATTATCGCAATATAAATCCATAGGTTTCTTAGGCCCAAAGCCAAGATCTCTCAATAATCTCCT